TCGTCCAAACAAGCGCTGGGGCACACCCATCCTCCTGTCCAATGGGTACCGGGGCTCTTTCCCTGGGGTAAAGCGGCCGGGGCTTTAATCTCACCATTCACCTCCAACTAGTGCCGAGACCAAGAAAATATGGATCTATACATGCACTGACCCATACGCCTTCGTAACTAGTGTTTAGTTAAGCATAGGGTCAACTTTACAATTTACACACCCTGCAACCCTTATTTCAGTGGACTCAACGTGGGGATATAACCGTGCCAATCTGTTCCTGGGGGATATAAATACGGGGACCTGATCCTCCAGGTTGGGGGAGTATCGAATATGATATTTGGACCTGAGAATGACTGTGCTGGCGAGGCCCAGCGACAGTTGTAAACGACAGACCCATCCTTTCGTCAGAGAGGATGTTACATTAGGACTATAACCGCAAATGTTTAGTTGGAGAATATGAATTTTGGCTGTGGGTCGCCAAGACAATGTGATTGGCGGTAAAGAGACCCTGACTGACACGTGATATGAACAGGCGATCACATGTTGACCTACAGCACTCCAACTTGGGAGGTGCTATATACTGCTCGTTATTTTGAGGTTAATTTGGTGTTCTCATGAAAGCTAATTTACATTTTGACCCATCGCGGTACAGCACGGCACTCTTCATGTTTCAGTGTAACCTTCACGACCTCTGGCAATATTGCGGGGGTGCCGGCCATGTACATATTTTCCTTGTTCAGCGGTATGTAACCTGTGGGCCGCTGACTGAATTCTGTATCGTGCGGAGGTAACTGATTGCACGAACAAGAAAATGTAACAAAAAGAAAAGCTAAAGCTATCCCTGTAAGAGGACGTCGAGGCTCCCACATTTTCTAGACAATCGGCTCACAGATGGCGGCGGGTTTGTCAGCCTTACGCGCCCGGCCGCCCTTTGCCCTCAGGAAGATTGCTGGTACTCATTTCTGTTAGAGGCTTAGTCGACCCTAGGGCCATAGTGCGGCTGGAAGGATTAGGTCAATTGAAAAAATCCACTTCATCGGGACCCGAACCCGCAATCTCCCGGCTTGCAGCATGGTGCCTCAACCAAATACGCTACCGTGTGTCCTAGAAGAATGTAAAGATATTGAAAAAACTGTGCTGTCACAAGAATAAAGTTAGATATGTTTGTTTGTTTATTTATTTTTATTGAATTAGAATGATAAATTCTAGGCAACGGCTGGTAAACACACTTCCCCGTAGGCGGTAACGTCACAAAACATTCCAGCAGCAATGTTTCCTTTGTGTCCGTGCAGCTTACTCATGCGCAATGACGTCACACCGCAACAGTGCTTAGCTATCACGTGGGTCTAAAGGGGCCTCACGCCAAGACGAATTGATAGGCGATAAACCGCCAGTCGTAAAGTGACTTTGATTTTGACTTGTGGTGAGAAGTGTTTTTAGTTGAGTTCCGAGGTTCCAGGGTGATTGAACAAGAAATGGCAAGAAGGCTCCATCGTGAGTTGAAGTGCTAGTTTGTGTTGAGATCTGTTGCTATGAGACGACTAGTGGAAACAGAGAATCCTAGTGCGTGTGCAAGGGTGAACTGGAAGTGTATAATAGCGACAGCGTTATAATTGAGTGTGTGATTAAGAGTGAGTGTAACCGAAGTGCCAATAAATCCAATCATCCGAACTAGAACCCGTCATTTTCGTCACGCTTACCCCCATACACATGACAGTGTTGTCGTATCCATTCACTGAAATTTTAGAAAGTATTTTTCAGGTCTTCGTCCTATAATTTTCAGTGATTATTTACCTATTTTCACTTCTTGAGGTTACTACGCGGACTGTTTACGTTCTGCCAACTTTACATGAACTTTACTGTGAATTTCTTAACCGATTTTGTCTGATTTTTCTCTTTTGCAGATCTTTTCTTAATATTAATTCCCTCGCTTCCTTTCCAAGCCTTCACGTTATTGAATGATACGTCCAGGCCGACGTTGAACGCAATCTCTCACGAATAACACGCACAAATAATCGTTAACACGACTCTTGTATAGGCCCATACATTAGACTCCACTCTCCCATACGCTTTCATAGTGTGCTGGTTAATTAAGTACATGGGCAGCTTTAATTTCTGCTTTACTTTTTAAACATTCTACGAGCTAAAGGACCATAAAAACCGGGTTCGATTCTCGGGACAGGCATAGATTCTATTCTTCAGTGTCCAGACCGGCTATCGGCCCCGCACATCCCCTGCAAAGTGGGTACCGGAGCTGAAGTGTCTGGTGCATGAAGGCGCCACTCAACGCCATCTAGTGCAGTAGTCCGGAGTGTTTGGAGCTGTCTCCACTCCCCCACACATCTTCATGCCTTAGTGGTTAACCCTTCAAAGACTGAATTTCTTCTGATACGTGGCGCTATCAAAAAGGTCCCGAAATTTGAATTTTGTGCGCGAATGGTTAAGAGTACATCGAAATACCGCTAGGTGTCTCCCCACACACCCTTCTTGAATCAGTGTGGAAAGCGGCGTCGAGTTGAGTGGTTCGGTTTATTGTTGAACGTATTTCCATTGTTGTGTTTGTGTGAGGTTGCGGTTTGCGATGGCTGACCTGAGAGAGCAGCGTGCCTGTATAAAGTTGTATTTTAAACTTGGGAAAACCGCTCAAATGTTGAAGCAAGCTTTTGGTGACAACAGTTTAGGTCACACACAAACGTGCGACTGGTATAAGAGTTTTAAAAATGGCCGAACATCGACTGATGATGACGAACGTTCGGGACCGCCGTCAACTGGCACCACACCAGAAAATGTCGCGAAAGTTAGAGATCTGATTCTGCAAGATCGTAGACTGACCATCCAAGACCTCTGTAACACCTTGCGACTAAGTTATGGTACATATCAACGAATTTTGTCAGAGGAACTGAACATGAGGAGGACTGCTGCAAAGTGAATAGAAGCAGCATTGCTTGGAAGTCTGCAGAGAACTTCAGCAACAGCTTCAAGAGGATCCAAACTTTCTTTCGAAGGTTGTCACTGGTAACGAAAGTTGAGTTTGTGGCTACGACCCTGAAAGCAAGCAGCAATCGTCGCAATGGAAGAGCCCTTCTTCACCTCGGCCAAAAAAAGCTCGACAAGTCAAGAGCAACATTAAGTCCATGTTGATCTGTTTCTTTATATTGACGGGATTGTTCATAAGGAGTTCGTCCCTCCTGGTCAGACAGTCAAAATTGAGTTCTATCGCGATGTTCTAAGGCATTTGAGGGACATGAGGAGAAAACGTACAGAGAAGCGGCGCACGAACGGCTGGGTACTCCACCATGACCACGCACGACCGCATACGGCTTACACTGTGCAGGAATTTTTGGCTAAAAAAAAGATGGCAGCAGTTGTTCCCCACCCACAGTACTCGCCAGACTTAGCTCCATGCTACTTCTTTCTCTTCCCCAAGATGAAAATCAAGTTGAAGGGGCGAAGATTTGATACAAATGGGGAAATTCAAGGGGAAACGCAGACGGTACTGAACACCCTAACAAAGAAAGACTTCCAGGATGCATCTGAAAAGTGGCAGAAACGCTGGGATCGGTGTATGCGCTCCCAAGGGGACTACTTTGAAGGCGACGGTGCAGAACAAGATCCACGTAAGACGTAATAGTTTTTAATAATATATTTCGGTAACTTTTGGATTGCACTACGTATATACAAATTCAGTTCTTTCCTCACAATAAACACATTACGTCGCCGCTACAAAGCCCAACCGGTTAATGCCGTTTAGGGAAACAGTCGCTGCTTATTGTGAGAACCCTACGGAACACATAAATACACTCTGTGGGCACAATATATAGCAATCCAGTTCGTACCTCACAGGAAACACTCCGTCTCCATAGCAAAGCCCAACCGGTTAATGCTGTTTAGGGTGAGTCACTGTTTACTGTGAGAACCGTACGGAACACACAGATACGCTCTGTGGGCAGAACGCAGTTTGTGTATGTTAAAGCAAGTAGTACATATAGTAACAATTGGACTTCAAAGGGTTAACTAGGCACAGGGACACTTTACATGTTACTTCCGAAAGTGTGGACCGTGGCACGAGGCAATGAGCGTTCTGTATATGTAAGTTTGGAATTAAGAGTACAGAAGTCCGACAGACTGCAACTTCGTCTTCCTTACCGCACGTGGTCACCATATGGCAAGCAGACGACCTGACTGAAGCATCTGCTTGATTCAAGAGAAGACGAGGGAATCACGTGGTCGCCGGTGCGAGCCTCGGGCCTGCAAACGTGAGTTTGTGCCCATTCAGAGTCAGAACCAGGCGAAAGGATGTGCATGAACAGATGAGTCTACCGCCTACAACAGACCCAAGCTGACGTTAGTCCAATTCATATTTAAGCATAAGATTATCTTTACCATTACGAAATTTTGGGTTACCACAACAACCAACTGTAGAGCGTGGACACGTTGCATGATAGTAAATAAATAAATAAATATATATAACGGGCGAGCAGTGTCTTGTTCCTGTGCATCGTGTCTATTCTGTGAGAATTTATATTATTATAATTTTGATATGTAAATTATAGTATACTGTAAAAATGAGACAGTTTGCGGCTGTCTATTTGTGCGTGTGTCCGTAGGAGATGGCGTTAAACGTCGGCCTCGACGTATCGTTCGATAATGTTAAAGGCTGTAAAGGAATACTGCAGAAGGTAGGGTAGATACGGAAGTTTCTTTGATGAATGATTGGGTTCCTGTTAAATTCTCAACGGGTCTCATATTAATGTACATTTGAAAGTGCAGCTTCTACATCACAGAAAAAAACAAAAATTGAGCAATGGAAAGACCTGAAAGGTGGTTATTTTCTGGCATCAGCCTTTGTAGTCCGGTATGTTTTGGCGAAATGTTATTGCCCAAAACTTGTTTTCTTGAAACGTCCGTCTACTACTATATTACACGACGCCATATTGCAGAAAGTACTTTTGGTCATACTGTAAAGACACACAATCTAATACGAATACAGTTTTAATGAATAGCAGAAATTTTGAATTTTTGTCAAAAGTTAGTGTATTTGAAACCATTATACAATCTTAATGGCTACTTATATGTGACAGTGATTATTTCACATTATTATAATACCAAATTACATTGCTTACAGTTAACATTGAATGTATTTAAAATGTTTTCCATCCCTCAAACAATGTTACAGCAATGTGCGGCTGGACATGAAGCGCCCACATCGCGAGACAGAATTGCGTTATGATTTATTTTGTTAATAAAACTTCCACGTTTGAATAAGAGATTCTTGACGTGTGTCCCTGCATAACTGACATTATTCCAACTGTTATTAGAGACAAATTCTGTACTGAAATTGTAATATACTTAATCTTGTTCTTATTACGCAATTCTACAGAGATCCACTGCTGCCACCTTTGCACAGAAAACATCTGTAACCCTCTGCCACAAACGTAGTTCTTAATCTTCCTGCATTTGGTAACCCACCCAGTTGCGTGAAGACACTGAATTTGGTTTTTGTCGCGGTTACTTTTTAAACATTTCTCCACAGACGGTTCCGTTAATGGGCGTAGATTTGCCCTATTAAATAAAATCATATAATTAGGCAGTATGGAGTACATTTTTAGATTCAAGCAACAACGGCAGGAGATGATAAAGGCTTAAGTTTATGGCAGTCTTTCTATTCCGCACATTGTGAAGTGCTGTTGCGTCACACAAACCGAAAACTTTTTATCGTTTACAGTTGTATCATTTGCGAATGAAAATGCCTCACCCTTCTTTGTTAGCATCATGTTGTTACAAGTAGTCTAAATGCCGTACTTGTTTGTTTAGGATGTGCCATGGAACTTCGAACATAACAAGACTGCCTAATCGCATGCCTATCAAAAAAGTGTAACACGACTTTCTAATCACAAAGTTTATTAGACTAAAAAATTATATATACTGCGTACTAAAAAATTATATATATTGCGTACTATATTTTTACACGTTACATAAAACATTACTTTTCTTTTAAACTTGGGATAAAATGGGAAAGAAACTTGATAAAATATCATGAATGACTGATCCTCAACTTTCGCTATCAACCGAGTGAATACTCCTAAAATTTCAGAAGTAACATTCAAGCTCCCCCCTCCCCCACCAAATTTTGCATCCCCTGAATGAATGTAGTATTCCAATGGTTTGCTCATGTCCAGCAACAGAAACTTAAGTCTTTCTTGTCATTTAAGGTGAAGGTAAAGTAGTTCCTATTCTTGATCATGCACCACGCCATGAAGACGTATAGGGAGAGTGGAGGTAATCTCCACCATTTTTCATCTCGGCATTTGATGGAGGTGAGTGGTCAGCTTCTCTCCCCGGCCGCTTCTGCTGATATCTACAAAAATTTGCTCGAGAGCACCATGTATAGATATGTATAAAACTATGTATGTATTATTTACATATGTATAATATATTTATATAAACGTATATTAGCCTTTTATGGAATTATTCCCTGTTCGCCTATGGACACAATATTACTTTGACGAATGTAATGTGGCGGCTTCACGAGGACAGTCACCAGGTTCGTTTCCAGTTAAAGGGCAACCAGATAATTCGATTAGACTTACGTTGAATTCCAACTTTTTTTTAATAATTTTAAAATTTTATAAATTTCCCAAAAATGCATATAGAATTATGGTGGGAAAGCCACAATAAACCACTAGGAACACCAAGACGTGGGTGGGCGGATAATATTAAAACCGATATTGATAAGACGGGAGATTGTACGAAGTTTGCTGATCTGGTTGAGGCGGTGAAATTTTTATACAGATGTAAGCAACCGAAAACAGACATTTCCGTCACAGCACCCAAATCTTTAGCCTTCAGCCACAAGGTTAAATTTTTAGTAAAATCGGTCTTCGGGTGGTCTTCAACACTGTGCTCCAAAATTACAAAAAATATTTCTTTATCAGTCAGCTGTTTTAAGAACCTCGGTAAATCTATGACATTGGAAATATTTATATCGCTAAAATGGTGCAGACAAGTGTCCCATTAAACAACACTGCAATTGTGGAACAAATGTGAAATAGGACAAGAGATAGAATTATAGAACTACAGTCAGCGTTTAGGATTTGAGGTTCTAACGCCGGTGGTTAAGGAGAGCAGTATCTTGTGGGAGGTAACGCCAAGTAGTCAGTTGAAAGTCAATCGACGTTTCGAACGAAAATATCGCGGTTCATCTTCAGTGTTTTCATCCGAAACTTCAGTTGACCTTGAACGGACTACAAGGAATTATATCGCACAGTTCTTCGAAACTTGCGTCATGTACTAAACAACGTCACTCTAAAATGAATCGATAGCAGAAATCCCAGAACAAAATCGTCACTATCAGGGAGGCCAGAGAAATTAGCCGCTGTTCCCTTGAATACGATGTTCCCAATTCCGGGATGTGACGCTGTGAAGTCTGGTGTCAGTTTATTGACATTTCGGAGTGGTATAAGGAAGCTGTCACTACTTAACTGCTTGCATGTGTGTCTTGCGCTTCAAGCAGAAGAAATGCTTTCTACCAGACTACACGGCCTCACGTCACAGAAGATAGAACAGAAGTTGTGCAAGTGAGAATTTTCTGTTTCCCTTGTTTTGTATCTACTTTACATCAACTCCAATGTTGGGACGGCTGAACAGTGGAAGATTTCAGCTGTCATTGTCTGACTGACTGTAACGCTGAACAGCTGAGAATGCGGGTTCTCAAAATTCTGTCAAGAAAACCCTGCCAGCAGGACTAGACAGCTGAATTTCCATATTATGTACACTGACATTCCCAAAATTCGGAATCTGAAAACAATTCTCTGGTTAGTTGAAACAAAGTCTCTGTAAGTTGGATTCCCAATTCGGGTGTTTGCGAAGAGTTTTTCAGTTTCTGATAACGTCTCGGAATATGGACAGAAGTGAGATGTACAAATTAATAAATCGTCATCATACTTACACGACCCTCGCTCCCAGTCTCGTCTTTTTGGAACACTTTCTACACATGTAACATCCCGTTTCCGAATTTATTTGGCTGAAGACCGATTCCTATTAATCCCTCCAAAAACTCAAAAGTTTTGCGAAACTCGGGCTCGAAAAGCCGTCTTAAAACGTAATTCAGTTCACGCTAATGTGCCAGTTCCCACGTTAAAATCGCAGTAACACATAGAAGGGCATAGGAAACACAGTTCTCCGCAGGCGCGGCACTGTGTTTGCCCTTTGATTGCGCATGCGTGACGGCTGGCGGTGGAGTACTGGGTTTAGTAACTGCCTCGGAGGTGGCAGTGGAAACGGCAGTTGTGTTTGTGCTTTCGGTTGTGTTTGTGGTTTCGGTTGTGGCTGCAATAGTGGTAGTAGAAGCTGTGGGTGTGGTTGTGGTTGTTGTGTCAGTGGCGGTAATTATCGCAACCACTGGTGTAAAGAAGTAACTCTGCTCAAACGCAAGAGTATCTCCCGTGTATGTAACGGGATAATTGTAGATTAAGGCTGCTGTCTCGTCTTCGATACTGGGGAAGGAGTTGTTGTTCTTCCGAGCTGAAAGAAATAAGAGAGTATATTATTAAAATGAACGTTATATTTTGAATGTTAATGGAATATTGTTGCGTTTATCAACAGTATTGTATGTGGAGCATCAAATCTATCAAAAATTATCAAGAATATTGAATTTGGGGCATAAAGTCTGTCGCAACAATTCCTGCAATACCTTTTGCGTATAGAAACAAGCGTCTTAAAACTACCTAAAGTAGATATGTAATTTGCGAAGCTCCTGAAGGGAATCTGCACTTATACAATAATGTATACTATACTGCGTTGTGACAACCATAATCACGCAGCACATTATCACGACCTCGGCCTTTTTGTCGGGGGATTCATTTCTGTTCCGGCATTTGTTTGGTTACAGAGGACGGCTTTTCATTGAAGGTTACAGTTTTGTGGGGTGTAACTCCCTATGGGCTTGGTGTAGCCCTTATCACTCAGGATTTCCTACGCGATTCCTCTGCTTTGAAGGTGGAGGCAGTCTGTGCCTCGAAACGTCGGATTTTTTTTTTCGGATCTGCAGTTCTTCACAGTCCAGAAACCCGTAACCTTCATATTAACCGCTCTACGACTTCAAATCCACACCGATAACATCGTTTTGTTCAATTAAAAATGTATATATTTCTGCTGACACACCCAAATACAGTTGTACCTTTGACTTAGGGCTTAACGTGTTCTCAAAAAAGGGGCCCAGTTCATTGCAACATGGTACTTACAGGGTTATGTTCCTGGAGCCCAAGCATGACGAATTCTTCTAGCATAAGATACGTAAGGTTGGCATGATCTGCTTTGCAAAGCCTGGACTGACAGAGGATTTGTATATAGCGCACAAGGAAGCATTCCCAACAACACGTGATATTTGCTATACGTATATTTGACGAAAAGTCAAGTATATTCATAAGGGAGAAACTCATCTTCTGGCCAGAGAGGTTGTTACATACGGGCTGTGACCGCAAGGGTTCAGTTGCAAAAAAAAAAAAAGAAAAAGAAAAACATCTGTGGTTGTGAGGTTCAAGGAGTTTGGCGCCAAGACGAACCGATTGGCGGTAAACCGCCAGTCGTAAAGTAACTCTAACTCTATCTTTAAAGGGTTAAAGTAACATTTTAACAGACCCCGACATATAGTGCGTCTCGTCGAGTTCAGACAGGCGAGATCTGATTACGGGAGATGCTGGAAGAATGGTCCTTGGGGTCTTGGGCTTATGAAAGAGCTATCCGAGGCCCGAAATTCGAGGATATAAAAAAATTCGGAGCATAAGTCTAACGTGCGTTCATTTCATGGGAAATTAATTCGAGAAGTCATTGCTCGAGGTATGAGTTTGCACGTGAAGGCTTGCCGGATATCTTACCCTCATTGACGAGGAAGTTGCCGAAGAATTGTTGAACCAAAATGCTCTCTGCCGAGTGCGGGATTGACTGGACCTTCCACTCAAAGGCGTTCTTCTCGGGATGGAACTGGACGCCATAAAACGGATACTTGTTATGCTCGAAGCTAGATATGAACTCGATACCGTTGTACTGGTTGATCGACAGAATGTGCCACTGATCTGCCGCATCTGATTCCGCCAAACTCTGGGAAGAGAAGAGAACCAGGCTGAGTCTGTGTCCCACCCTTAATGTCGGAGACCAAGTTTCACACCCATACAGAACCACAGGGGAAAAAAAATTATGCATTGAACATGCAATGTAATAATTTCCATTTAGCTTTCTCCGCGTTACGGACGCGCATGTGTTTCCTTTTACATGTTAGCTTAGATCAAAATTAGTCAGGTTAAATTCAGTTTATGCTAGGATAAATCAGTTCTGGTTAAGTTGGTCTTAATTCACGTTTAATTAACGTTACGGACGTGAATTTAAGTCCTTTGGCACACTTCTTTATTCTGAATTTGTTAAGAAGGAAGGGAATAATGCATTATGGTCATTCTCCCGAGCTTTCTGTACTATCTCGAGTGTCTGTGGGGTCAAGACTGGAAACTCTGGTTACCTGCTCAGTGATGCACCAGTGGTGGTTATGGTACAATACACTTTCGTCCTGTAGTATGTCCAGGACGCCATCTTGGTCATATGTGTAGAGCCTACTGCTGCGATAACCTGCAACAGAACACCCAAACAGATCGCCTGACACCACTGATACACTTTCCTTCATCAGGGATCAGGTTTAGACACTTATCTGTGAAACCTGAGGTCCAACGCATGACTTAATGCTTTAAAATGGGTCGTTAAGCACATTCGAGCTCATCATGACATGGGACTATGTTCCTGGAGGCGCACCTCTGACCCAATTTCTCATTACAGTGAACCCTCGCTAATCCGGATAGAAATATGAAAAATGCTGTTCACAGTTGAGTAAGGTAAGGTAAAGGCCGCGCCAGAGCTCAAGCGTTTAGTCGCTGGCTTCCCATCGCGGCGGCCCGGGTTCGATCCCGGATCTGATCAAGTGGGATTTGTGGTGGACAAAGTGGCGGTGGGGGCGGGTTTTCTCCAAGTACTTCGGTTTCCCCTGCCAATCTTCATTCCACCAAATTCTCCATCATCATAATCACTCGGGGCTGGTACAATAGGCCAATCAGTTTCTTCAAACTTACATTGTTACGTTCAGAAAGAAGTACAACTTCTGAGTTTTCTGTCACTGAATAAATGTATTGTCTTTTTATAGTTTTTTAAATGAAGGCTCTGCAGTGCAGTGCAGTGCAGTACAGTTCGCTTGCTGATTAAGACCATGGAGTTTGTTTTATTTTATGTACCAAGTTTTTTCTGTGGGGTACGCGGTAGCGTAGTTGGTTGAAGCACTATGTTACAAGCCGGAAGGTCGCGGGTTCGATTCCCGATGAGGTTATTGGATTTTTTCAGTTGTCCTAATCCTTCCAGCCGCACTATGGCCCTGGGGTCGACTCAGCCTCTAACAGAAATGAGTACCAGAAATATTCTTGGGGATATAGAGCGGCCGGCGCGTAAGGCTGACAATCTTGCCGCCATCTATAAGCCGATTGTGTAGAAAATGTGGGAACCTCAACATCTCACAACCCTATGGGCCTCCACGGCCTGTTACAGGGATACCTTTACTTTTTTTTACTTTACCAAGGTTTTTTTTGTTTGTCTCTTGGGGCTACCTTTTGCTTCACTAATCCGGATGATCCTCCCCGAAACACATTTACTCCGGATTAGCGAGGATTTACTGCATATTACACTGTAAATCTATTGCTCTTAACATATAATCCACAAAGGGTCATCAAATTAAATAATATTAAACATTTACACCGTTAAACATATTAGCATGATTCTTCAAAGGACTAACAGGTACGCTTGTCGCCATGTTGGACGTCATGTACTCGAAACTATGCGATTGGGTTTACCTGGCTTCATTGTAAGGGGCAGTGCAATGCGTTTAACGCTGCACACTTTCCGTGTCTCGGTGTTGTTTGCGGAGAGAAAAGCCAGGAGTTCAAACCCCAGGCAAGTCCCCCACACTGGGAAATAAACGCCAGCATCGTTCTTTAATTTAGCTAGTTTATATAGCTCCCATCCAGCAGTGGCGTATCCGTCAGTGACGTTGAACCGAGCTGCTCCGCCCGGCAACAGCAATCTATAGAAATCATACAAGCATCAACAGTTTCAGTCATTGAAATATACAGGGTGTGCACGATAAGTCTGTTTCAACACGGACGTTGAAGAGTACACTCGCGACAGTCTGGGTCGCCACGAAGAAGGAAACGTTTTTTTTTTTTTCGCTGACCCAAACCGTCACCTTCAGAATTGTTTTTTTGGGGGGGGGGACAGAAAATTTATTGGAAAATGTTTGAACCGTTTCTGATGATCGCCTCACAATACTGTATTAAATTTTTTGTTAATATTTGGTATCCTGTCTTCTTAAATTTTGTTTGTTTTTTTTTTGTTTCTTACCCCGAGGGTGTGCCTGTGCTCATGCTTCCAGGTGACCTTTTTCATTCAGGCTTTCAGACTAATTTCTATATGCATTTTAAATTCGTTTAACTGCTGGCTTATATCTCCAGTAATGACTTATTCAAAATTCCTACAATGGCGTCGTGGGAAAAAAAAGTGCGGTAATAACCACCACTTAGCAATCATCTAATGCAGTTTACGCAGAGAACTCATTATCACCATGCTTAGGGTTAATCATTTCCAGTGGTAAATATGTTACGAGTGTATGAAACCTTCCAGTTCCCTGTATACAGGGTGTTCGCTCTACACTCCAGCTCAGGTGTCTCGTACGCTGAGTCGACAGAACTTGGCGGGAGGACCGTGCGATTGTTCCGACACATTTTCCTCTTGAAAAGGAACTCACTGTATGAACTAACTACAAATGTCATAAAACTTACCCGTTAACTGAGTTGACTATATACTCATAGTACTGAGCGCTCTGGTTAATCCTGGAAGAAAGAAATATATATATTATAAAAAGCATGTGAATATTTGCCTCCAAACTTACGTTTACGCCGTGTAGGATTATTTTTACAGGTCCCATTAGAGCATGATTTCCCAAACTGTGGGATGTGACCTCCTCGCAGGACTTCGCCGAATTCTCGGATATTTCGAATACAGTTGTGTCCATGCATGGTTTTGTCAAGTCAGGAAAGTCAGTAGAATTTAACTTAAGTTCTTTCTGAAAACGTAGTTGTGGGTGACAAAATATTTCGCGAACATTTTACAGTTCACTGCAGGTGTACACAGGCTGTAAAGGTATTTAGGTTCCTGCTGTCACCGTACTTGCAACAATGCACAGAACTGCACCTCCCCGCTGACCGGCATAGGTGTGGGGTGGAGGAAATTCGAAATTTTTTTATCGTGACAAGGGGGTTGTGTTATCACAGAATCTGAAAACCTCTGCCCTACTCTGTACAAGATACAATACTTTTTGGAATATTTTATCGTTTTTGGTACAAAGATACACCGTGTATTTCTGTCTTTTTCCAGTTCGATGTCTTTTGCTTTAGAATCCGTGCGGACAGAAGATGACCGGGTTTTCCCCCGGCTCTCCCATTTCGGCGCCCATGGCTGCAGCATCTCTAGTACCAAAGCCAAGCATTAGAAGTAATCTTCATCCAGTTCTTTTCTTAACGTTTCTCTTACTGATGTCATGTGATCTCCTTCTTGGTCTTTCAAGTGTTGGTTCTCCAGTTCCCCCTCACTGGATTTCTGCAGGTATTGTCTACCCTCCGTGGCTGCATGCCAGACCACAGCGGTCCTCTGCATGTCTCGTTACCTAAATAAATTAACTGAGTTCATCGTTATGTTATGTCCTGAATTATTCGGTATGTGTACCTATAGACGGGGTTTGGATTGGTGAATAGATCTATTGCCACATTTCGTTCATTACATTGTTAAGATTAAACTGCTATCGAGCCTTATCCTGATCCATTTGAATATTATACTGTCTTACTCGTAAGTATTCCGAGAGAACTCCTTCCTACCTTCAGGCTATTAACAAAATGAAACAAAATCTGTAAAAGCATAACTTTCCGTTGTTGGTACTGAACTTGGTTCCTGCAGCACCTATACGCAGTTTGCAACTATGTTCAGTTGTTTTAACGAGCAGTGTCGGAGACGTGAGTTGTAAGAACCGTTAAATTATCGCGTTTATATACGTGTAACAGCACTTCAATAAACGTGACACATATTTCTAGCAATATTCGTGCCGACATGGACAACCACTGGGCACGCGGTAGCGTAGTTGGTTGACGCACTATGCTACAAGCCACACGGTCGGGGGTTCGATTCCCGATTTCATTGTATTTTTTCAGTTTAACTAATCCTTCCAACCTAACCATGGCCCCTGGGGGTCGGCTCAGCCTCTAACAAAAATGAGTACCAGGAATCTTCCTGGGGGAGTAAAGGGCGGTCGGCGTGTAAGGCCGACCTCAACGCCATCTGTGAGCGCATTATCTAGAAAATATGGTAGCCTCGACGTCTCACAACCCTATGGACCGCCATGACCTGTTACAGGGATAGCTTTACCTTTATGGCCAACAAGTAAGAGCGTCGTTATAAACGTAACATTGAACGTCGAGTAGTTTGAGCGTACTGCCCATAACACGTGCCTGGAAATATAACACTAATTGCTTGTAGCGATATCTAGTATCAGAGTCCGTAACTATGGCTCGTGGCCTTGAACAACGCCGCGACATCTGTCATCAAGACCCAGTACAGGTATTTACATGGTTACGTAAAATGAGGTTAAGACTTGTTATTTAGGTCATAAATTACGCAACTCCATGGAACAGCCTTTCTTAGAATCTAATAGTCGCTGAGGTACTCAATATATGCTCATTATCTTATGGAACCCGAACGTTCATTATCTTACTCACATAAGCCCTCCACTTCCCTTTCTTTCTAAGAGTTGTCTAGGACGAATTTTAATACTGCTCTCCCATCTACTTCTTTGTCTTCCAAATGGTCTCTGTCCTTCAAGTCTTTCTGGCTAAAAGTACGTATCATCAGCTTTTCATAGCAAAAAAGTAAAGTCCCTGTGCTTAACTAATTAAGCACTACGCCATGAAGGGGTATGGGGGAGTGGGTGTATAGATCACGTTCTTCAGCTTTCAATATACATTATAAGTATAGAAGGAATAAAATTATATCAAGAGAAAGCAATATATGTTTGAGTACAGGGTGTTCTAATCACGTTCCCGCGTGAAACTGCTTCCATTCATCACATAATTTTACGTTTGTTTTCACTCTATAAGGGTTGCAGATGCTTTCAATGCAGGCAGGTTTGTACATAATTCAGGGTCGTTTTACTCAGGCTTTCCCATCATGTTTAACGAATTACATTATATTGTATTTAGACGCGGCTTATGTCAATATATACCGTATTTACGCATGTATAGGCCGCACATTTTTTGCCAAAAATTCAAGAGGAAAACTGGGGTGCGGCTTATATTCGAAATCACACTTCATTTAAAAAAATATATTCATAATTAGTAATACAGGGTGTTCTACTCCTGAAATAATATTCCAAGAAAATTATTTTTTCTATAATTTGTCTGAAAATTGTGCTGCGGCCTATGCATGCGTAAATACGGTACATATGGTCCATTTAGAACAGGCGCTTAATTTTTAGACTTATTGTACTTGCCATATTGGGACGACCCTGGACCCAGAGCTCTCCAAAAACTTGACATATGAGGCCGCAATGTAGCTGGTGTAGTTGTCTGGGTAACGCTCCAGTATGTGACTGTCCAGTTCTTGAGAAAGCACGCCTGGAAATGACAGATATTAACGTTTGGAGAGAAATGAAGTGTTTGCTCAAGTGCTGTACATTTGCGGTTCCTGATATGAGGATTGTATTTAGCTATTTTAGTCTACTTGATATTTATTATGCAGGGATAGTATACTGTCTGGTGAGAAGCAAGACAGCTTCAAAAATGCTTCACTCGCTCGCTTCTTAGCGAGTGACTCGGCTAGCTTACTCGCCCGGCTTGTTACACCGGTTTCGTTTCATGCCAGTGAACTCGCTCCCACTATGCGAGTGGGAGCTCAATAGACAACGTAAAGATATCCTGTGCTTAACTAATTAAGCACTATGCCATGAAGGCGTATAAGGGGAGTGAACGTATAGATCCACATTTTCTTGACCTCGGCACCAGCCGGAATGGTCAGCTTCACTCCCCGGCCGCTTTACCCCAGGGAAAAGAGGTACCCAATGAATAGGAGGTTAGGTGGACCCCAGGGCCTGTCTTGACGACGTGAAGAAAATTCAAGACCCTACCGGGACTCGAACTCCGATACCTCGGCCGTGCAGCCCATACCCAGTCGCTATACCGACTGATTAGACAAGGTACAGCTTCAAATTTAAACTTAAGAGTGCACAGGGGATGGATTCCATCCAATTCCAGTGCTCCGTGATTCTTATGCGCTTTCCTCGTGTTACTTATATCCTAAAGGTTCGACCACACAGAGCACTACGTACGCGACGCACGCTACATACGCCATGTTCGCTATACGAACAGAAAAATATCTCCCTTTATTGCCAATGTGACTGGCCACACAGACTTCCGTACGCTACGTTCCCTATGTTAGCTGCGTCGCAGAGTGTACACAGCGTACGTAGCGAACATTGCGTAGCGCTCTGTGTGGCCGAACCTTAATGCGTGGATTACACTAGGGTCTGATGGACTTGGGGCTCTCACAGCCGTGAGGAGTCCCATCTTCTGGAATGACGCCGTTATTGTCCGGTTAATTCAACCTACGTTTCGGAAGAACACATCGATTCCATCTTCATGGTAATACTTACTTTTTATAAAAGTGAAAAATGATCAGTTATGAACCGCCCATAGCTAATAACAGAGAGAGCGTGAGAGAGAGAGAAAAATCTAGAAAAGAAAATATAACATAGCGACGTTACAACACGTTTTCATATTATTCCGGAAACATTAGGCACAACCAATCGCGTGGCGCGGAGGGAAGAGACTGTTCACCACATTTGCTAACGTCGGTGTTACTCCTAGGTATCCAGTATCAACTGTAACTGCACCTTCAACGTGCCTGGTGTTTGTAATAAGTGGAGCCTGCTTAGTCTCATCTACCAAACAAGCTCACGTGACCTTCGTGATTAGAAAGGAAAAAAAAAACACCATAAACAAGATCACAGAAACGGGGCATTACGTAACACGTTCTTATTTCGCATTACAGCGACATTGCTTCTGGGTTGCTGCCATGGCGGGGGCCGACGGGTATACGCCAGACACGAGCCCCCCCTTCCCCTGCATTTTTGGGGGAAACAATACGTTCTGGGAAGAAATAATGGGCTATATTCCCTTGATACAACACGGACCGCACAGAAAACGCGTTCAATAATTCTATTGTTATGTGTATTTCTTTGCAGCGGTGACGTTTTTACCGAGCCGTTGCGTAGCAACGATAGTGGAATACACATATAGAGATACAGACTGTTGGGAGGGATTTATGATCTCAGGTGCCACGATATACGTATCAGGTTTCGTGAAGATTGAGTCAAGTATTCAAAAATTAAATGGGATAAACAGACATTATCAAAATTCCATAAGCCTACTTTTTTTTCCCCCAAAATAAGGAAATTGGGCTAAAACCCCCAAATTTAAAATTGAAGGAAATATATAAAATATTAATAAACGAAATTCTTAATAAATGATTATCCCTAACACAAAAGCATTTCACAAGTTCAACAAAATCTGATGTAATTAAACATACACACATATTCCCCCCCCTCCATCCCTGTTCCCTCCTTAAATTAAAAAAAAAAAACTGACTGGTCTACTCATGCATCTAGTCTGGAACGTACGGTGCATGCTAAAGCAAGTGGTACGCATAGTAACCACTGGGCTCTGAATGGGTAATACTCGCAGCGCCGCCTGCTCTGGCAACCTTGCACGGGTGAAAGCTAACTGTGCAAACTCACGGCTCTGTGTGCAGATTCTGCGTGCACCTCTGAGTGTGCTAAAACGTTTAGTGTATATAACTTTCACATTTGCTTCGACCTTCTTCGCGTCCTTAACGTACGATTCTCTACCGAGCTGAGGGTTCCTGTCGTGCGCATTCCGACGGTATCAAATTCGACTCCGATTAGATGCCATTTATGTAATGTAGACTAACAATGTAAATATCCGCACATCAGTTTGTCTGCCGCTGTACAACATCGTCATGTAATGTGAACATCAAATTGTAGCGTAATTATAGCGTATATTTATTTACTCATTACCCCAGTACGTTTCGATTTTATAGGATTATGCATAAAGGATGTTCTGTTAAGCGGGGACACCTGGTAGCGTAGTTGGTTGANACTGTACATCATCCTGTAATGTGAACATCAAATTGTAGCGTAATACTCATTACCCCAGTACGTTTCGATTTTATAGGATTATGCATGAAGGATGTTCTGTTAAGCGGGGACACCTGGTAGCGTAGTTGGTTGAAGCACTATGCTACAAGCCTGAAGGTCGCGGGTTCGATTCCCGATGAGCTAATTGGATTTTTTCAATTGACCTAATCCTTCCAACCGCACTATGGCCCTGGGGTTGACTCAGCCTCTAACAGAAATGAGTACCAAGAATCTTCCCGGAGGTAAAGGACGGCCGGCGCGTAAGGCAGGCAACCTCAACGCCATCTGTGAGCCGATTGTCTAGAAAATGTGGGAGCCTCCACGTTTCACAACCCTGTGGGTCTCCACGGCCTGGTACAGGGATAGCTTTACCTTTTTGTTAAGCAGTAAATTTAGTACAATCACACAGTGTCCCACAGGATAGTTCATTTATAAATATCTAGGATGGACGGTCATTTAGAAACCTTGAATGACTGTACTAGAATAATAATTAGTAGAAGACCCCTGATGATGACTTTTTGAGGGGCGAAACTTGTCAGGTTACTGAATAAAGTATTACTACTTTATGTAGTAATCTGATGCTTGCTAATTATATTAAATAACAATGTAAGTTTTGAGGTGTTCTGGGCGGTAACAGCTTTCAATGGGATCTTGTGGTTTCGGATGAGGCTGCTTCCTCGAGCGTATAGTGTCCGAAGCATTACGTTCCTCCGAAATGTCGGGAACGATTTACCAGACCATACTGTGTCATGTGGCAAAAGGCAGTAACTTCAATAAATATTGTTACGGTGAACAGATCAAGGAATGTTACGAGAATGAGCCAGTAAACCAGACCATACTGTGTCATGTCGCAAAAGACAGTATCTTTCAATAATAATCATCATCGAACTTCAATAAATATTGTTACGGTGAACAGATCAAGGAATGTTACGAGAATGAGCCAGTAAACAGGTCACAAACGTAAGTAAAACAGCTGCAATGGATGTCATAGGTTTGGTAGCGGCATAGTCCAGCGCCATGACAGTCTAGGTAGCACAAGCGCATTCCCAAGTTTAGAAGCTGGTTTCAGTAGTTAACATGGCGACCGTGCTAGAGGGGTGATTACCGAAAAGCAACGTTCTCTTGTGCGTTTTTGTTCGCAAAAGGGATCAATGCAAAAGTTATTCATAAAGAAATGTTTCCTGTTTACGGTGGGAAGTGTTTGTCACGTAAAGCGGTTCACAGCTGGGTGGCAGACGTTTCGCTGATGAAGAAGTTGAAACGGAGGTGCAGAAGTGGCCGAGACAACAGTCAAGCGACTTGAATGCTGCGGGTTTCGACACACTGATAAAGGGATGGGACATTGTATCAGTGTTAGCGGAGAATATGTCGAGAAATATTTTTTCCCCACGTTCGAATATCACGTTTTATATCAATTTGTGACCCATTTACTGACTCTCCCCCATAGATTGGTGGCCATGTAGCATGTATGGGACAGTTGAGAAATTATATGCCACGTTTACGTCGAAGACATGAGGTAATCTCGGAAGGGGGGGGGGGCGCCCAGAGATGTGGAAGCAGAATTCTGTTCCGAATTCCCCTACGTTTATAAAAGGGACTTGCGGGGAATATTTGGACCTAAGAGGAATAAAGTGATATGAGACTGGAGAAAACTACATGACGAGGAGCTTCATAACTTGTACTTCACGCGAAATATTACGGTGATCAAATCAAGAAGGATGAGATGGGTAAGTCATGTAGCAGTGGAACGTGATGGAAAGAAGCGAGTAGTGATGACAAGTTTCATTGTGGGAGGAAGGGTGACGCACCAACTGAACACTTATTCTACTCATGCACTCCCTACAACCTCATCTCTGTCAGTCAGTGGACTCTGGGATTCTGTTGAGAGTGGCCAGCTATAGAAACACGGCCAGTACTTCATTCTATTTAAACAAGCATAAGGCAGAAATTGCCAGACCTAATCGTATGTTGGAGGACTATATTACAGCAAGTTTTTAGGAATAACTAAATGCCTACCTTGGATACAACACGGACCGCACGGAAAATAAAAAAATGTTGGGGAACACACAGCAAGGTGATCTCGTAAGCCTTTCATTTTTGTAATGAGGAAATTAAGCTATAAATGGTGGTTAAAAGTGGATGAGCATGGTATGTAGCACGCATGGATCTCTAGGGAGACAGATAATATATTAAAATGGGTCTTTGTGAAATGATGGCGGGGAACTGGATTTATCTGGCTCAGGACGGGGCCCAGTGGCGTGCTGGCGGGGAAACTGACCAGCAGAGGAACCAATAGGTTCCTAAGAAGCACTAAGTTAGCTGAAACTCACCTATGATGGGTCTGTCGTTGAGGACGGCCACGGAACCACCCATCACGCAGAGCGTCACCAGCACCACCTCAGCAACACGCTCCATCGCCCTCAACACTGAACAAACTGCCCCAGGGCGCCTGCCTGCACAGAACGCACTCGGAGGCGACACAGCGGGTGGGCTGCCCGCTTATCAGCGCTGCTTCTGCTCTCTTCCGAATGTTGCCCGCCATGTCGCCACCTGTCGCCGCCTCGCCTTCCCTGACCCCGTCGGCATAGCGGCCAGGCTACGGGCTCCACGTCCGAGGAGTCGGGATTCGATTACCGTAACGTCTAGACCTGCTCTGGGGCCCACCGAGCCTCCTATACAGTGGGTACCGGGGACTGTTTCCAAGGGAGTGAAGCTAAGCACTCACCTTCATCTTGTGCCAAAGTGAAGAACAGTGGAGTTATACCTCCACGCCCCATGTCCTCATTGCGTAGTGCTTAATTAATTAAGTATAGGGGCAACTCTAGTGACTAAATAAAAAAGAGCTATAGAGGAGAAAATGTGTGTGAGGGGATACCGAGAGACGCTACATTTAAGGGGGGGGGTAGAATTTTTTTCCGGTTTTGAAGGTTTCCAGGTAGTGCTCGCTTGTCCTTGTGGCAGAGGTAAGTTTTAGGGAAGGTAAAGCTTTACCTTCATATAAATAATATAATTTAAAGAGTCAGTTCGTACCTCACAGGAAACACATTACGTCTCAGCTACAAAGCCCAACCGGTTAATGCTGTTTAGGGAAACAGTCTCTGTTTATTGTGAGAACCATACGGAACACACAGATACACTGTGTGAGTAGAATATATAGCAATTCGGTTCGTACCTCACGGGAAACACATTACGTCTCCACCACAGAGCCCAACCGGTTAATTATGTTTAGGGAAACAGTCGCTGTTTACTGTGAGAACCATACGGAACACATACATACACTGTGTGGGCAGAATATATAGCAATTCAGTCCGTACCTCACAGGAAACACATTACAAAGCCCAATCGGTTAATGCTGTTTAGGGAAACAGCCGCTGTTTGTTGTGAGAACCATACGGAACACACATATATTCTGTGGGCGGAGTGTACTTATTCTAATGTTAAAGCGGTGGTACGTATGGTGACCATTGTACTGAAAAGAGTTAACCTCCAAGTGTTACGGGGAAGTACGCTTGAAGCTTGATTTTTTATCAAATTTGGCTGGTAGCTCGGGTTCCCAACGGGAAATAGTGTTCACGCTCCCTTGCTTTGTAATGTAACATTACCTTTGCATTATGTAAAACGGAGAAGCCACATACGCACGCTGAATATGACCGTGAAATATCCAGGCTGGGGATGTAAAATTACACTTACGATTGCACACAGGTGTCACGTGATCACAGTGTTATGACGAAGGGAATGCGGACACTGTATCACTGTACGTAAAGCAATGTAACGGTGAGATGGGAATCATCGGTGAGTGAGTGAGTAGAGGGGAGTGACCAGTAGTAATCAGACCCATCTTGTAGTCAAAGAGGAGGCCCCGTTTCAAAACACATAAAAGTCTGAAGAAAACAGATAACTACTGTGCTGGCGAGGACCAGCAGGACTGGACAGGACAGGACTGGACGAAAGGGCATGAAGTTACGGGAGTTCATGTTACCATAGTAACACGTTACATGAACGTAAGTTATGTGGAGGTCATTAATTCGCGATCAATTTCTTATTTCAATACATCGTGTCTATTCTGTGAATACTGATAATATTTTGATGTTGTTGTAGTATGGTATATAAAGGAGACGGTTTACGAGTTACTACTTATGAGTGCTATTGGTAGGAGATGACGTTAAACGCCGGCCTCGACGTATCATTCGATAATAAATAGGAAAGGAAAGGAATACGGGAGAAAAGAGATAAGAGTACGGAAGCTTAGTTAAAAAATGAGATTTTCTGTTGAATGTCATTCCCTGGTGATTTCATGTGTCATCCGTGGTGGATGAAGTGGCACTAGACCGAGTTTCTTCGGTTTTCTTTTGCTAATCATCGTTCCACCATTGCTCCTTTCCCATCTATCACCACCCTCTGAGCTGTGCAATAGCCCTGATCACGCAGCACAATATCACATCCTCAGGCTTTAAGCTGCGGCTTCAGCTCTGACCCGGCAGAAAACTCGACATATTGTGGCACGGACACATTTTCAAAATACAGCCTTCCCGTAGCGCCGGGTGTTTGTTGAGGATTTGACACTACTGGTGCTAGCTTTCAACCCCCAGCATTGTGGGCTGTCGAAGATGCTCCCCAAAGACTGACTACGTAGTTCAGATTAAATGCCAACAGATGTCACGTGTTGTCAGACAAAGCAGTTTTTGTAAACATCGAAATTTTCGGCACTTGGCGCTTGTAGGGTTAATAAAAGGTGTGAAGTAGAAATCTAGCTCTGTCCGATGTTGCCAGATGTGTTAGTTGCTGCTGACGTCAATCAGACGATATGTTTCAGTTTATTTTATGGATTCGTACGTGCAAGGCCGATGTCAGTTTATTCAGGTGCAAGAACAGATGGGCTTTCTGGTTACGTCGACACGGCGATCCTTCGTGTGCAAGCGGATATCAATGGCGTGCTCATATTGAAACTCCTGGACTGAGCTGCAGCCATGGTCGGCGGCAAGATTTTTCCCCAAGATACTGGAGATGCCCCCTCGTTGGTGTCTCCACCGTATAGTGGTGAGGGTGTTTGAGTATGCCAAGGACCCTGAGAGCTATACCAGCGGTGGTGTAGCTACTGGCAGGGCCTCCCTTGCTGGACAGGTCAAAGGGTAGGCATCAGACGAAGAGAGACACCAAAAACTGATGCCGGAAGCAGCGTCATCAGCAGCGACTTGAAGCACAGAGCAAATGATGCTCAAGATGGTTCAAGTTCGTATAGCAACAGGCGTGACCAGGGTTGTTTGAACGGCTGCTGTACTGCGATGTGGAAAGCAAATGGAAAAACTACCACATTATCACTTTTCCTGGATAGTCTCTTTCCAAAAACAGAGATACCATGTATGCCACCAGAAGACGAGGAAAAAGACGTAAGAAGATGCTGGATGACCTTGGGGACAGAAGTGGATATTTTTATTTGAAGGAGGAAGCTATAGATCGCATTAAGTGGGGGAACTGTTTTGGAAGAGACTGTGGACCTGTCGTCTGACAGATTACTGATGAATGAATGAATATTGGAGATAGCAAAAAATTTGTTATTAACTTACGTTCAAGCCATTTAACTATTTTTACCGATCGCTCTACAGCGTTCAGGAAAGAGTAATATTTAAAGAAATAATTTCGCGCTTCTTAATGTCAATTTATGTTTTAGCTTCGTCATGTGTGCAATATACAGAGTGATAGATAAAGTTTTCCCTGTGCTTAACTAATTAAGCACTACGCCATGAAGGTGTATGGGAGAGTGGATGTATAGACCCACGTTTTCTTGACCTCGGCACTAGCGGTAGGTGAGTGGTCAGCTTCACGCCTCGGCCGCTTTACTCCCGGGGAAAGAGCCCCCGGTACCCATTGGATAGGAGGTCGAGTGGACCCCAGAGCCGGTCTGGACGACGTGGAGAAGGGAAAAAATTTCAAACTACCAAGACTCGAACTCCGACCCCTCGGTAGTCGAGCCCGTAGCCAGTCGCTATACCGGCTCAGTATACAGAATGGCCCAAAAATATATATACACTATCGGGAATCGAATCTCGATTCTTCGGTTGTTCGTATGTAGTCTAGTCACTATGCTGACTGAGCTATTGCGATTTGCTCGCTTAGTGTGAGCCCAGAGTACTATTTATTCTTGTCGATGAGCTAATAACTGCTCAGCTGTTAAACAAATTAGCAGAATTTTGTGGAACTCGAAGTTTCATTGCCGTGTTCACAAAAGCCTACCACTGGCCCCTACCCCAGAACGAGATGACTCCAATATCCCCCATTCTAGTTCCTTGGGATCCCATTTAATGACCTCCCTCCCTTCTGTGACTAGGTCTTCTTAGTTTTCTCTTTCCTTTGGGTTTTACCACCAAACCCTTAAGTGCGCTTGTCTCCGATACGCCCTGCCTCGCTGTGTTTCTTGGTTTGATCCTTTTATTTACCAGGAAGCACAAATTACCCCGTACACCGAAACTTAACTACTTAATCCGTTCCTCTTGTACCTTACGGTGTCGAGGTTTTTTTTTTTCCCCCCCCCCACTTTTTTTTTTTCTTTTTTAAGACTAGTTCTACCGTGGTTCTAATC